CGAAGGAGACTGAACGTAAACAAACACTGACCTACTAGAAGGACACTCCTAATGCAAGAATCAAACTTTTTTATTTTTGATTTTTTTTTGTGAAATTTTTTCCATCATATTTGTAACATTTTTCTCATTAAAATGAGACCAAACATGACGTACTTCGGGACATATTTACTTGTAATTTCAAATGTTACGCGTACATCGATGACTTTACTCCAATAAGATATTGTAAGTAAATATAGCTCAAATTACGTCGTGTTTGGTCTCATTTTAGTCAGAAAAATGTCACGAATATGATGGAGAAAGTTGTATAAAAAAATGGATGAAAAATAAAAAAGTTAGCAAGGCTTAAGCATTGCAAACAATTGAACAGACTTTTAATTGAACAGACTATTGATCTTTGCCGACTGCCATGATCACAGCGTCTCTTTCTTTTTGGCTCGCTATGCTCTTCGACATGAGAAACTTTTATCGTCAATTAAACCAGTAAATATAGTCTAAATTATACCGTGTTTGATCTCATTTTAATCGGAAAAATGTCAAGAATTAATTGGTAAAAGTTTGATAACGAAAAAGTCAAAAATAAAGGCTAATAATACGAGTTAGATTGATAATAATAAGAGTAATAAGTATAGTAATTGTCGTTCTATCGATCATTTAAGCATAATATGGCTAATAATATGAGTTAGATTGATAATAACACTTTGCCGGCCGCTGTCACGTATACGTGACTTTCTTCTGCCAACCGTTTTCGGCCGCTATCACGTACGCGTGACTTTTTTTTCTCCAGCGGTAATGCTTAATTTCCATGTTTGTGTAGGGAGATAAATTGTTGCAGAACAATGTTTGGCGAATAGGGAACTGTGGTTTCAACTGTTTTACACTCCCAATTTACCATATTGTGTTTTACTGAAATATTTAAATACTCTGCCAGCCGCATCGAAGCGGGAGCTTGTTCAGTTAGTTTGACACTGTCCGTCACTGCCTCCGAATATCGGAAGCTTACATTAAATTTATTAAAAATTATAAAATCTCTTTCGAAATGTCATACAACGAGGAAATATATGCTGTTCCGTTATCAGACGTGGAGAAAAGTTCTAATAGAGATATCGATAGTGATTTAGACAGTGGAAGTGATATCATTGTGAGACAATTCGAAATTTATCACACAAAAAAGAATAGAGATCCTAAAGGTTAAATTTTTTAAGTAAAATGTTTAAATAATAATTAAAAAATGTAAGATTATGCAATAAAAATGGCGTAACAGTTACCTCAATGCCTTTTTTAATAATAATTATATTGCAACAACTTGCGTGAATCTCGCCGGCGGCAGCGCGTCGGCGATTCGAGAACTGTGCGGCCGGCAAAGTGATAATAACAGTAATAAGTATAAGGAAAGTGCGAATAATCTATTCGTAAAATTTTGGTAACGAGAAAATAAAAAATAAAAAAATTTTTTATTTGCATTGGTATTGTCTCACGGATATACTAAGGCCCGGATGACGTTACATTTCTCGGCGATCGAGCTTCTTGGCGTCTGAAGGGGTTTTCCCCCCAGTGGTGGGGATAACTTTGGTGCACATATCGTACAGATCATTTGTGCACATATCGAATATTTGTCGAGGCGCACACATACACTAATCGATCGCATGACGCGGAGAGTGGATCAGATATTTGGAGAACCAACGAACAGAACGATGGATGCGTCGAGCGGCACTACGTTGTCGTAGTGTCCAAAAGTTTTACGGATCGCGTAAAAGGAAAAAGATAGAGTTTTTTAACATATAGTAGCAATATCTATTTCTACACCTATGTAAAACCACACCATTACGGATGAACGGTGGGAGCTACGCGTGAGCCGAAAAGTGGGGATTAGGTGGTCCTAGCGGACTACCCTCTTTGTCCCGTTCCCATCCCACTAGTTATCTTTCGTACTCTGAACAGTACTTGTTCGAAAACTTCTAACCTGAAACTGCATCGTGGCGAAAATGAAGATGGCACGCGATCAAAAGAAATAACTTCAGATAAAGAATCTTTCATTGATCCTGAAGCTGATAATTTTGATGACTTGGAATTATTCGCGCCAAGAAGGAAGAAAATACGCGTACTTTCATTTTCGGATGAATATGAAGATGATATTGTTATAGATGAAACTACGCGTTCACTGGATCAGCAGAACAACACCGCCCAAAGGAGTAGAAAATGGTCACCTGACGGACAAACAATTCCAGCGGGAGAATTTTCTTCAGATTTTGGCCTGACTCTCTATATCACAGATTTGCCATCTCCATATGACGTGTGCTGCGCATTTTTGACTGATGACATTATTCAGTCCATCGTTTCTCAAACGAATTTATACGCAGCACTGCAAGGCAAAAGATTCAAGCCAACTAATGACCAAGAAATTCGCGCATTTATTGGTATAAATTTTCTAATGGGAATCAATAAACTCCCAAGTTGCAGAGATGCTTGGAGCTCTATACCGTATTTACGGAATGAATACATATGTCGAGTAATGAATGTAAATCGTTTTGGGTGGCTTCTCAGTCATATTTATCTAAATGATAATAGCCCAACTCCAGCAAGAGAAAGTGCCAACTATGATAAACTATACAAAATTCGTCCATTCTTGGACAAAATACAAGAAAATTTAAGAAAAAATTATAGTCCTGGTGTCAGTTTAGCGATCGATAAATCTATGATAAAATTTAAAGGTCGTAGTTCGATCAAACAATATCTTCCGAAAAAACAATCAAAAGAGGATACAAATTATGGCTTCTAGCAGATAAATCAGGTTATTGCTACAGATTTGATGTATATACTGGAAAAGTTGGCAATCAAGTAACAACAAATCTTGGTGAGAAAGTTGTGAATACTATTACTTCGGATTTAGTTGAAAAAGAACATAAAATTTATTTTGATAATTATTTTACAAGTGCAAACTTATTAGAAAACTTGAAATCTAAACAAATTAATGCTTGTGGCGTTGTTAATAAAATGAGAAAACATTTGCCATCCTTCAGTAGAAATATGAAAAGTCGAGGAGAATATGAATCATTTGTAAGTGATACGGGAATAATGGCAACACAGTGGATAGACAATAAGCCCGTCCTCTTTCTTTCAAATTTTCACAGTCCAAAACAACATTCCATAGTATACAGAAGAAATCGTATGGGGATTAGAAAATCGATTACTTGTCCTTCTTTGATCGCGGATTATAATAATAATATGAATGCAGTGGATAAATTTGATCAATTAATGTCTAATTATAGCCTTCATCGTCGCAGTAAGAAATGGTTGCACCGCATAATGTTTTATTTTCTTGACGCGTGTGTTGTTAATGCATATATTTTATATAAACAATCACATTAAAAGTATTTAAAGGTTAATATGCCGAAGGATTTATTAGTCAAACATTTATAGATAATGGCGCACTAACTAAGCGTACCGATAACTCATTATTAATCCAAATGCATAAGCACAAACCTAACATTTCATTAGAAATAAGAAGGCGAGATTCGAAACATTTGCCAAAACGTTCGTCTCGTAAATGATGTGCACTTTGTAGTACAAAAAAAAAGGAAGTTCAAACACTCTGGTCTTGTACTGTGTACAAAGTGCCCCTGTGCTTAGGAAAAAATATGTGTTTTAACAAGTACCATTCATAAACCTATGTGGCACGGTGCGACTATTTGAGCCGCGTCCAATAACAACAAATTTAATTAATTGTTACTATTTTGTTATGGTTTTACATAATGTTATACCTTTATTAATAAAAATATACCAGTTTTGTTTCATTTAAAACCCGATAAAATTTCCGTGCAACATGGGTCCATTTTTTATCTGAAATCCTGTGCCTCAAAGAGTTAAGTGACAATTTTAATTAGATAAGAGAACAATGACAACGTTAAACGATATTTCGGTTATCTGTGAGAACTTGTGGAAAGCGTCAACGAAAGCAATTCGTGCGCTGTATTTTATTCAAGGTGATGAAGGTAACGGTAATAATCGGAAGTATTTTCGTAATTTTTCAGGACTAGGATTCGAAATAGGATCCAAAGAGTTTGACGAGAAAATGGCGTGGGCTGTAGCAACATTTAGTTTGGGAGAATTAGTGACTATATGTACTGTGTTGAACCTCGATTTTACTGGGCAAAATGAAAAAGTGGCTCATCGAATTTATAGACATTTAGTAGATCTGAATCGATTAAATTTAGTTACTGCATCGATCATCTCAGATCAGAAGAAAATTCGGAAGACTATGCTATGAATGAGACAGTTCAACAATGGCCAACGAATACAAGTGGGCGACCAGTGTCCGCGAGAACCATGTCAGGCAGATTTAGTTGCACAAAATGCTATTGCTGATCAAGTAACACCAAAATTTACGCTAAATTTTCGCGACATCGCAGATTTAATCCGGCAATTTAATGGATCGGAGGATATCCAGTGGAAAGTTAGATCCGGGATTTTGAAGATAATGCTGAGTTGCTTGCTTGGTCGGATTTACAAAAATTATTGTTCGCGATAAAATGTTTAACGGGTCTGACAAAATTATTTATGCAGGGCGAGCGAGTCATTACGACATGGAAGAAATTGTAATGTCTCCTGTTAAAAGAATTTTCGTCAAAAATAAATAATACGCAGTTACATCAAATGTTGCATAGCCGGAAGATGCGACGGGACGAATCGGTGTACGAATATTTTCTGGTAATGAAAGAAATCGCCGCGAGAAGTTACATTGAGGCCTAGGACTTGATTCAATACATCGTCGACGAAATTCCAGACGATCCATGAGAAAAGCTCAACTTTAGGAAGCAATACAACTAAGCGAGTTGAAAAATAAACTAAAAGTTTACGATAGAATTCGCAATTTGAGTCATCTGCCAATAAGAAAAGTTACCCCTGCAAATCAGCAGATGTTTTAATTGCAACGAAACGGAATATTTGTATGCAGCCTGTTCGATGTCAAAGAGGGAGAGAGGAACGTGCTAACTATGTGGAGCTACGGACCATAAGAAGCAACTTTGTCCACTATGGCTCATGACTGCGAAGGAGCGGATCTCAAAACCTGCAAGCGCATCGACAACAATGTATTTGGTGCAGTTCAATACGAGCATAGTACCGTGTAAACGCTATTTTAGATATAGGTAGTGCTGTTTTATTTTTAGTCGATTCATCAATTAAGCCAAACGTAGGTATTTGGTCGTATCAAGATGATGTCCAATTCGAAGGCGTGAATCGAAGTAAAATAAATATTTTAGGACGTTTGAAACAAACAATTTTAGTAGCCGATTGCGAAATTCCCATTGATTTTTATGTTATTCCAGAAAATACTATGAGTTGTCTTTGTTTATTAGGTAGAGACTTAATTACAAACGATAATGTAGAAATAACTTTAGGTGTTAAGACATCAAGGGGACAACTTTATGATACGGCTAAATATTCGTAGAGTCATTTGTAACCGTTAGTTTTTTCCTCTTTATGAGTTTCAGCAGGCCGGCCTGCAACCAGTATGCGGCACATAAGGTCACTTAGAAATTTAGCTATTGTTCAGTTTTTTGCTTCAGCCCGGGTATCATAAAGTCGTATTCCAGAGGGTTCCTTAGAAATTCAGAAATTAGTGTTCCCAAGGATCTTGACCTGACGGAATTTCCCCGATGTTGCCAAACATGCGTTGGCGACAGTGACCAGCCTGTCACCCCTGCTCTAGGGATGTACCGCGCTTTGGGCGCACTGGAAGGGGATGACATGGTATTGGTCACCTTAGTTTTAAGAAATAGCGAACTTAGAATTAGGACCCACCCTCTTTTTAGGAGAAAGAGGTGGGGCGCGAAACCGACTTGACGTCGAAGCGAATATTGTCAGGAAAAATCAGAAATCTTTAGCACTCGTATCAGTAACAGTTTCAGCTCAGCAAATCTTGTCTCAATATATCAGTTTTCCACTTAGAATATATCAGTTAGTAACCAACAGACTTAGTTTTTTTATTCCCGAATCAGTCGGGTGGTCCTTCGGAGTTTAGACGGCACGAAGTGCAATACCCAAAACTCAGAGACTCAGACTCTGGGTTTAACATTAGGAAAAACTGTGCGAGTTCAACGTGAATTTAAAACGAGAAGCGATGATTATCCGGTATCAGAAATGTTGAAAATTGATGTAATCGAGAGCGATCTACCGATTAATCTTAACATTGACTGAAAAGTAGACTGGGAATAGCAAAATCGAGTTAAAAATCTTATTAATAAATGTAGGATCGAAATAATCGAGGTTGACGGATAAATGGTTTTTGGGAATAACGATAACAAAACAATTTAATAATTCAAACAAAAGTACAGAAATCAACTACAGAAAATTATACAACAACTTTTCGGACAACGTACTGCTTCAACCGTTACGACAAGACTGACCCCCGACGCCACGCCGTTTTCCTCATTCTCTCCCAATTCCCGCGTAAAAAGAAACAAATGCCATCCGATCCTTTGTCCTCCCACTAATTTTCCGCGCCAAATCATGGTAACGCCAAATCCTCTTGGCGCCAATTGTCCGAGTTGCCCGCTCGTCCGATCGCGCCCGATCGTACCCGACGACCCCCGAATAAACCGATCCCTCATAAATGCTATGTGAAACCAGAAAGACAAGAGTCACCAATTACGAAATAAGAAATAAAATTCGCGTTTATAGCATGCAAGTACCAGGGCTGTTTTTGAGAGTCCTTTTATATTTTTGAATTTACGATTTGTATATCGACGGTCTCAACAGTTAATTGCCGACGCCATAAATGTGAATTTCCAGAGAGTCATAGGACAGGACCTAGGAGACATTAAGCAGGTCACCCTTGTTGACAACCCAAAGGAAATTCTGTTTTACGTCCACTTTGTCTGTTCCATATCCATGTGACACATCATACTCCATACGGATCGCGCTAAGGGCGCACGGGGTAGGGTGATGTTCACTTTTAAACGATACTATTGGCAAAAACATCAGCCAATCAGGACCACCACCCCGTTGTCCGAGCTTTCCTCTTCAGGATCTGTTCCTGAAGTAGTCACTAGTCACTCTTTAACCCTTTCGCTTCGGCAGTCCGGTTCGCCAAAGTGTCGTCACCGTACGGAAGCACGCGCCAGAAATGTGCACAGTGCGCGTGGTTTTTGTATATACATTTCTTAAGTCTTAAATAATTACTATGCTTAATAAAACAATTGTTGCTTTAATATAGCATGTATTCCTCACATTTTAACCCTTTCGCTTCGGCTGTCAAGTTCGCCGAAGTACTGTAACTGAACGGAAGCGCGCGCCGTGAATACGTGCAGTACGCGTTGTTGCTATACAGGGTGTCCCGTAACTAGTGTTACTCCCTGAAAGGGGTGGTAGAGGACGTCATTCTGAACAAGATTTTCCTTTGCGAAAATGGGGTTTGAAGCTTCGTTTTTGAATTATTAAGGAAAAACACGGACCAATCAGAGCGCGAGGATTTCGCGCGTCGAGAAGCGGGAGCGACAGCTTGAAGTCCAGCGGCTGAACGCGAACGCGATCAAGAGTCTTTGCCTCGGAACAGTCTAAACATCCAACGCGAAGTCTTTACATCGAAACTCAGTTAAATAACGAACAGAATAATTAAAAGTATTGTTTATTTATTCATTCATCATGAGGGAGGAACGGAATTAATTATGCGTAATTAATGCAAGTTATGCAAATGAAATTTATTGAATATTGCCATTCGTTATCGATGAAGAATGTGAAATTAAATATTGAAAATTTTTTATTTTACTTCTAACAATAATATTAGTCAATGAATTTACTCATTTTAATGAAAAATAATTATTCAGTTCGCAAAAAAAGAGTTTCAATTTAATATCTAATAAATGTATTAACCGGTCTACCTTACATTCACAGGAAATTTATTAAAATAGCACTCACCCATTGTTTGAAAATAATCCTGTTTGAAAATAATCCTTCAATGAAAGCGTTGGGGGTCCTGAGTCGAAAATACTACACAACTGAATATCTACGACACGATATTACCGACGTATTGTTATGGGTCGTTCTTATTTGGCTCCGGAAGGGGCCGACTATTTAAAATTTTATTCATTAAACCAATTTGTTCCTTTGATTAAGAAATGAGCGGTCCCGAAAGAGGCTAATTACGTTGAATGACGTTTTTGACCGAACATTTCAATAACATTTCTCGAACATTCGAACATTTCTTGAAAAAAATGACACAATTGAATATCGCCGAACTGACGATCGTTACAGAAACATCCTACAAATGCTATGTTATACCAACGATCATTTTTTGTGATCTGCCGAAGAGTAAACACATTTTTTACAATGTCTCGCACGAACGCAGAATACTTTAACATGATACTTTTGTACGGGCAATGTAATGGGGACGCGGTACTTGCCGCCGAACGCTACGCGGAACAGTATCGTAGTGCAAATCCTCCCACTGCGAACTGTTTTCGCAGATTAGCGAATAGATTGTATTCGACCGGCTCGTTTCATCCTGTACGATTTGATACAGGACGTTCGTATCGGCTTCCTACGGTACGAACGGACGAGGTGGTCGAACAGTTTGAAGAAGATGGAACATTGAGCATTCGTGACGTCAGCCGTCGACTGGGGTAAGTAATATGAAAAATATTGAAACATTTTATTAAGATATAAAACCATTTATTAATAGATGTCTGTTTTTCCTTTCAGCATGAGTCGCTCCACGGTGCACCGCACTCTTCAGGATAATGACATGCACCCGTACATACTTGTACGGGTGCAAGATTTGAAGCCTGAAGATTTTCCTCGCCGAGTGGGGTTTGCAAGGTGGATTTTGGGGGAAATCGAGCGGAATCCGTCGTTCCTCTCATGCGTTTTGTGGACAGACGAAGCTCTCTTCACAAGAGAAGGGTGCTTTAATGCCCACAATTCGCATGTGTGGGACGTACAGAATCCGATTGCGATTCGCCCACGCGCTGCGCAAGTGCGCTGGTCAATCAACGTATGGGCTGGCATTTGCGGGGATTTTGTTGTTGGGCCGTACATTCTGCCAAACAGATTGGACGGCCCTTCATACAAAATTTTTGTGGAACATGTTCTTCCAACTCTTTTGGAAGAAATTCCATTAGAGATTCGGAGGAACATGTTCTTGCAACATGATGGTGCGCCTGCCCATTATGCCGCGGATGTCAGATCATACTTAGATGAAGCCTTTCAGGACAGGTGGATTGGCCGCGGAGGCGCAGTTGCGTGGCCCTCCAGATCCCCCGACTTAAA